CTAGAGACGAACATATCTTTACGAATTTTCATATATGACCCTAATGTTTTCAGTTTATTCAATTAAAACCTCAAACTTTTTTGTAACAAACAAACCGTAAGTCTGTTACACATGTATATAACCCAAGTCCCAACCAATTCAACCTGTAATTTAACAGATAAGTAACCAGAGATGTCTTTTGTTTCAATACAAATCATTCACTGTTCCTCTTAAAATCTAACCTTTTAAATTCGTGCAGCATATATCTATCTACAACAATGGAAATAGTAAAGTCTTTTTCAGAACAATAAAAGACAAAAGTCAAAAGAAAATTTCTTCTTTAGCTCTTTTAAGAACCATTAAACAAAAGTTAATTAATTTAACTTTAAGCTGAAGAAGAAGTTAATCTCAATTGTTGATGAGATTCACCAGTCAATGGATCGTTTGTGTTTTGACTCTCCAATGGCATATACTGAGACATAATCGCCATCACTTCTGAATCCATGTAAGACTGCAAATTCGAATTTTTTTTGGACATTATCAAGAGAGATTTTCATGATTTTGATAAAAGAGAAAATCAAAAAGTGTGAGAAAAAACATAACATACCCTGAGACGATACTTGTAGAATACGTAACCAGCTACACAAATGCTTCCAACTGTAGCCAGAATCACTAATGTGAAGAACCATCCGATTCTTGATCCGCTTCTCTCTGCGAAAACACGAAATATGAGTCTTGGATTGTTTCAAAAGAATCTGAGAAAGTTTAGATTTTTATTGTCTTACCGATACAAGTGTCTTGTTCTTTCATATAGAGACGATTTCCTGAGCATTTGCATTCAAAGCTTCCCCATTTGTTCGTACAACTGCATCCATCACATTGGCAAGCTGATTGCTCCTTACATTCATCAATGTCTAGTATATAAAGAAGATGAATCAGAATAAGAAAATATGATTTGATGTGAGATCTTGAAATTAGTGAGAGAAAAATAAGTGATCACCTTCACATTTTAGACCATCTCCTTTGAAACCTGTAGGGCAACGACATCCCGATGACTCCGAGTTCTGCATTCAAAAATTGGAGAGAAAATGTTAGAAATGAGAAACTCAGGATGAAAAGTTTGAAACTTTATGGCAGTATTATTGAGAAAACAAAAGAAACAAGTAGAGTCGCTTAACCGAGCAAGCGGAGAAAGTTAGGCCTTTTTTGGTTTCAGACCAACACCCTCCTTGGTTGATTGAACATCTTGCAGGGCCATAAGCTGTTGTACCATTCAAGCAAAGATGGAATTTTTTATCAGAACAGAACACATAATGTTGTCAATGAAGCTTTTCTACAAGATTTCGATGTAGAGGTTAAAGAACATACGTTCACATGAAGTATAGCCATCTCCTTTATACTGCACACCATTCACAACAGGGCATTCACAAACCCTTCCCCTGAATGTGTCCTGATAGAATCCAATTTCAGGTGTAAGTATAACACTTATCACATATCTATGAGAACGATAGTCGGTGAAATTTATCGGTTCGAGTTAAGTACCTTGCAAGCTGTTACATTAGATTTCTTGTCATGCCAACAACCTCCATTTGCTTCGAGACATTCGTTCGTTTCGATATCTGTTTCAAATGTGTAAAAGTAGAGTTCTTTAGTATTATGTTACCATAAGAAGATCAGCTTACAAGGGGAATTGGTTTAACCTCCACTTAGACAGATCCCGGGTTCGGTTCTTTCCTTGAATCCTGAACAGACAGCCTTTAGTACTGCATTTCTCTCGAGTTTACCTGAGAAATGAATCAGTTTAAGAACTTAAGTACCAGTTTCTAAACAAACATGTAACAATGAAAAGTAATGAAAACAAACCGCGGTATTGAGCATTGTTGATGATCAATGTTGGCAAGATTGTGACATCCCCGCGGTCTCCTTGTCCTACCTGAAGCGCTTGCTCTGCTTTTAAAACTTCATTCTCCACATCAGCTTCAGGATCACCAATACATTTCTTGACCTTGTCAAGTGGCAAACCTGAGAACAAGAGAAAAAATATAAGACTCGGAAATGTGACGAAAGGATGCGAGAAAACGATTGCGGAAGTCTCTTACCGAGAGATTCCACAACGCTCTGTGCACATTCTTTGGTATACTTCTTCTCCTTCATTGAACACCTGATGTGAAAATCAGTCACATAGTCCCACCAAACCCAAGACCGGTTATTCTCTTTCGCTACTCGATGAACACATAACTGTCTCAGATTCTCGAAAACAATGTCTTTCCCGTCGTATCCATCTCCAAAGTCTTGTTCAGGGTCAGGAGCACAATACCTCCCTTTGTTTATACACTGAGACTTACACTGCTTGCTGGAAACATAATCTTTAGGACAAAACCATGTAATGTAATGAGGTGTAAACAAAGAGTATCCTCCTTTTTCGAGAATCTGCGCGTGTCCTTTAAAGTTCTTGACAAAATTCATCTGCTCATCGCACCGCGCACCACACTCATCATTCGTGTTAGTCCATAGCTCATACTCAACTCTCTCATCAGGATGAGGTAATGACTCGCTCCAATCTATCTTCAAGACTACTTCCTCGCCTTTTTTAAGCGCTTGCTTGAGAGTATCCGCGAAAGAACGGTCTATTAAAGCCGATGGAATGTTGATTTTCTCTATAAAGTCATCAGCTTCTTTGGATTCCTCAGGTGAATCCATTGTTATCAATGGCTCATCGACGCTATCAGCTACTAGAACCGCTGCTGCACCGGATTTTTGACCGTTCCATACCTTTAACGCAAAGTAGCACTCTAATCGAAAACAAAAATCAAAAACCAAATCTTTACCATCCTTAATTCTTCAAATCATACATAGCTTTTGAGTTCCTCTACAACTAAATTATGTAAATGACAAAACTTTCTATATATAGCTCCAAATTTGGAATATTTTCTAATTAGAGAGATTTTGAAAAGTGTATGCAAATTGAAAGAGTTACCTCCACGATCGATGATTAAAATGGTAGGACGAGGGAATTTGGGTTTGAAAGTTTTGTCGAATGATTCGCATCCATAAGCTCCTTGACCGGCGTAGACGACGGAGCCGATCATATAACCACCGTAGTTTGGAACACCGAAGTTAGCGATGGCTGCGTCGTGCTTAGACCGCATTGTCATAGGGTTTAGGACCGTGACGCTGCTCTTCTCCACGATGAATCTACCAAAAACTCCGTTGACCACCATGGTCAACGCTAGAAACAGAGCCAAGGTGGCTCCTTTATGAATCAACGACATTTGGTTCCGATCAAAAAACGAATTTTTTTTTTGTGGGTTTTGAGATTTCGTGATTCGATTTTTTTTTTTTTTTGTGGTTTTCTTGTGGGTAAGTGATAGAAAGATGTCTCTGTTTTTTTTCAGTTTTATGTAACTCTGTTTTTCGACTTTCTATAAATTTTCCCGAGAAAAAAAAAGAGATCTTAAATAACTAGAGTTAGATAACTCTGAATCTCTTCCTTTTCTGTTGTTTTCTCGGGAAAGTGAAGGAAAGAGAAGGAAAAGTTTCTGGGAAAGAATTGAGTTTGCGGGAAAGTGAGCGTCTCTGTTTTTCGATTTTTCTGTAAATTTTCCAGAGAAAAAGAAGGAAGATCTTAACCAAAGCTAAAGATTTTCAAAATATCTTCATTTTCTTTTGATTTCCCTGGGAAAATGAAGGAATAATTTGCTTAGAAGAGAGAAAAAGAATTGATTTTTGCGAGAAAAATGGAAGTCTCTGTTTTCGGATTTTTTTCTCGAGAAAAAGAGATTTGAACGTAAAGTAAACGAAAGAGAAGATGACTTGACAGAGTCAGCGGAACTAACCATGTCTCTGCAACTACTGATTCAACAAACTTCTCTC